ATATGGCAACCCTAACGTTACTAAACAGTAAGAACTGCAAACGTTTCCACAAATACTTTCCTGTGAAGCTATGCCCAAAGCCTGGATTTGCAGTGGCCTAGTGCCAAGATGTGTCACAAGTCTGGATTAAGAAGCAGTATCAATTTGGCTTCGAAATGGTCTCTTTCCTTGACTCACAGAAGAAGTTAAAACAATAAGAACAATGGCAAAAGGGGAAGAAGGACTGAAAGAGGGAGGCAAACAAGACCTCAGAGCCCGATCCAAATATTGACAGTCTCCCATACTCTCCAACATTTCTCCGATGAAAATAGGGACGTCCCATTCCATAAGGATAATTTTACTATTTATACCCCACACTTCTTATTGGATTGCCCCAGCCACTCTGGGCAGCTTCCAACATACCGTATTTTTCGCTCTATAAGACTCACCAGACCACAAGACGCACCTAGTTTTTGGAGGAGGAAAACAAGAAAAAAAATATTCTGAATCTCAGAAGCCAGAACAGCAATAGGGATCGCTGCGCAGTGAAAGCAGCAATTCCTCTTGCTGTTCTGGCTTCTGGGATAGCTGCGCAGCCTGCATTTGCTCCATAAGACACACACATATTTCCCCTTACTTTTTAGGAGGGAAAAAGTGAGTCTTATAGAGCAAAAAATACGGTATATGAGAACACAATGAAACATTAAACATTTTTTTAAATAGCTTCCCTATACAGGATTGCCTTCAGACAGCTCGGAGGTCAGATAATGCCATATCCTCCAGCATTTCTCGAATGAAAATAGGGACATCCTAAGGAAAGGTGGGGCATTCCAAATCAGAAACCGGGGCAGCTTCTCTAAATCAGGGATGTCCCTGAAAAATAAGGACACTTGGAGAGTCTGGTCTCTCCTCATCTACAGCTTCCAGGGTTGTAAGAGTTACAGAGGTAGTGGCCTGGTCTGCCACACTAAGCCTCAGTTTGTCTTAAACCATGGTTTAATTGTGAATGTTCATTGCATTGTCTGAACCTGGAGGAACAAGTAAGAGATAAACCAAGAACAAACCTTGGTTTACCACTTGTGGTTTTGTTTGAAACTAACAAACCATGGTCTGCATTCTGCTGGCATGACACGTTCACAATTAACCATGGTTTCTGCCAAACTGTGGCTTATTGTGATGTGCAAACTGGGCCTATGTACTTTGAACAATTGCAAAGCGCTGCGTAATTCCTAAGTATTGTGTGTGTTTTTAACTAAAAATTATGATTTTTGTCATGATGATAACTTGTATAGGGGTCGTTCCATATCAAGGTGAATAACTTTCTAAAGAAATGCCTGAAGTAACTGATATTACAGTTTGAAGACTTGTCTATTCTGCTATATTTTACTCCAAGAATACCCATTTATCCTAAACAGGACCCAATAAGGCAGACATGTATTTAAAATTATTATTATTTTTTGTAAATATCATCCCATTGAGATCCCAATATGAAAATTTGCAGATAGCTCTTAGAGATACTAAATAAACAATACTTTTGGGGAAATTTTAAATCATATTATTATTTTTAATCACTTTTTAAAATTTTCAATTTTGTAACTTAAATTTAAAATTTAAAGTAAGTCCATCATGTGACATGTCATATTAACACCCATGAAGTTCTGAAGAGATTGGTGTTTTTAGTTTTGACGTATCTGAATTCTGGGCTGAGCTTTTAAGGTTTTTGTGTAGTCCGGCAAGGCCAAAATTATCAATGTTTTGAAATTTCAAACCCTCATAACTCACAAAAGGGATGAAATTTTTAAAAATTCAGATTTAGGCTTAGTTTTGATCATTCAACAAGTGTATAGAATATTAAGAAAATTCGATGACCTGAGATAAAAAAATTTGGATCACTTGATACGAAATGACCCATAGGCTGATTCTGTGTGACATATTTATTAAATTTATTATGCAAGCTTGCTCAAAGTGGTCTGAGGTCAGTCCCGCTCCCCACTTCCCCTTAACATTATATTGATGGTAGGAAAGTACTGATGTGGAAGTTAATTGTAAAATATTCAGTTCAAAGATATAACTCGCAGCATTCAGATATTATTTGAAGCCAGACTTTGCTATCTTAAACTGACATCACCATCTGCATTCTTATTACTTTCTGAGGGCAATGGTGGTTCGGCGCTGACACTGGATCCTGCCACCCGTGTCTACATTCAAAGCTGGGAATTAATTTACCTTCATCTCTTTTTCCTGTCTGCCTGGAGGCAACTTAGAGTTCTGTAACGCAGAGTGCAAAAAGAGTGTGAAGGCAGACGGGGGCATCTCTCCTCCTCCCCTCTGTCAATTAATTAAGTTAATCTGGATAGAATTTGGAGGAGAAGTCAGGGAAATTCCACATGTTGAACATTTCTTCTTTAAACTAGGATTATATGATCAAAAATGCAAAACCACTAGAGATCTGATATCTCCCACCAACAATGGCGCTGGGGCACTTTGCTGCTTTCATGGCTTTGGAATATACAGACTGGCTCCTCAAGAAACTATTTGCAGGTTTACAGCGTGTGTGTGTGTGTGTGTGTGTGTGTGTGTGTGTTGCTGCATCCACACTCTCCACCCCCCCTAAACTTTCCGTGTTTCACACAACACAGAAAATTAAGGTGTAGTACTATATGGAACTGGCGGAAATGACTGGCAGAATCCGAGACCAGGGAGAAGAGTCGATGGAGGAAGATTGGAAAAAGTTTAAAGACTATCTACAGAAATATTGTAAAATTAATGAATGTTAGAATGATGTTGGATAGAAACTAAGCGAACTTTAGCTGAAAGGTTACAAGGAATATGATAAAATGGATTATTAATTTGAAAAAATCCAAAAATATAATACTTTACGATTAATGATTAAGATACATAAAGAGGGGAGGGATTTGCTGAATGAAATAATTGAACTGGAATACAAAAAAGGGAGGTGTGAGGAGGTCCTGGAACTGAGCAAATGAAGGTTAAGTAATGGAAGGAATGAATTGTTTTTAAATATTTTTATTTTGTATTTTCTTTTTTGTGTGTGTTTTGTAATATCTTGAAAATTTCAATAAATATCTTATAAAAAAAAGAAAAAGAAAAAAAATTAAGGTGTAGCCCTTTTTGCAGCATAAAGGTGAAGGTAAAGGGACCCCTGACCGTTAGGTCCACTCGCGGCCGACTCTGGGGTTGCGGCGCTCATCTCACTTTACTGGCCGAGGGAGCCGGCGTACAGCGTCCAGGTCATGTGGCCAGCATGACTAAGCCGCTTCTGGCGAACCAGAGCAGCACACGGAAACGCCGTTTACCTTCCCGCCAGAGTGGTACCTATTTATCTACTTGCACTTTGACGTGCTTTCAAACTGCTAGGTGGGCAGGAGCAGGGACTGAGCAGCGGGAGCTCACCCCGTCGCAGGGATTCGAACCGCTGACCTTCTGATCAGCAAGTACTAGGCTCTGTGGTTTAACCCACAGTGCCACCCGTGTCCCTTTTGTAGCATATGTGTCATTTAATTGCTGTTGACGTAGAGGACAACATGACACAACTGTACCTATGCATTTAAATCACTATGTTATTATTTTCAACACTCATCATGGCTTCCCCCAAGGAATTCTGGGAGACGTAATTTGTTAAGCGTGCTGAGAGTTGTTAGAAGATCACTGTTCCCCTTGCAGAGTGGTTTAAAAATCAATTTCTCTTCGCGGGAAGCTGCGAGTACTGTAGCTCTCAGCCATGAGATGGGCTGAGGTGGTTGCTTCAGGCAGCAAAATGTCAAGAGGCGGTGTCTCCATGGGGTTCACACCGGCTCTACTATTTCTGCCTCTGCTGGAGCAATGGTGGCAGCAGTGGCACTGGCTTCCGGGTGAGATCTTGCCAAAATCTTGCAAGATCTTGTGCATGGGTAGGCAAACTAAGGCCCGGGGGCCAGATCCGGCCCAATTGCCTTCTAAACCCGGACGGTCCAGGAATCAGCGTGTTTTTACATGAGTAGAATGTGTGCTTTTATTTAAAATGCATCACTGGGTTATTTGTGGGGCATAGGAATTCATTCATCCCCCCCCCAAATATAGTACAGCCCCCCCCCAAGGTCTGAGGGACAGTGGACTGGCCCCCTGCTGAAAAAGTTTGCTGATCCCTGATCTTGTGCAATCCATGAGATCACATGAGATTTTCAAATGGACTTACAGTGGGGCAGTGCACTATTAATTTGTAATGAGCTTTTATCCTTGGAATGAAACCAGTTTCTTCAGACGTGCTTTTTAGGGGCAAAACAACACGCAGTCGAACTAGGTTGTGTGTGGACTAGATAGTAAAAAGCAAGCACAAAGTCTCCATTGATTCTAAACTAACATGTTGTGTTTATGCAGCCCAACATGATAAGCTGCACAATTTTCAAAAGAGCTGAATCCAGTTCTTGTCAACTGGAAAGTAGTTTTAAGTTCCATACGTTTTAATAAAGGACTATGTTTTATATCCAGTAGTGATGTATGGAAGTGAGAGCTGGACCATAAAGAAGGCTGATCGCCAAAGAATTGATGCTTTTGAATTATGGTGCTGGAGGAGACTCTTGAGAGTCCCATGGACTGCAAGAAGATCAAACCGATCCATTCTTTAGGAAATCAGCCCTGAGTGCTCACTGGAAGGACAGATCCTGAAGCTGAGGTTCCAATACTTTGGCCACCTCATGAGAAGAGAAGACTCTCTGGAAAAGACCCTGATGTTGGGAAAGATGGAGGGCACAAGGAGAAGGGGACAACAGAGGATGAGATTGTTGGACAGTGTTCTTGAGGCTACCAGCATGAGTTTGACCAAACTACGGGAGACAGTGGAAGACAGGAGTGCCTGGCGTTCTCTGGTCCACGGGGTCACGAAGAGTCGGACACGACTAAACGACTAAACAACAACAACATGTTTTATATGGAACTGCTTGTACAGCTGTGCAACCTCGCTGTGTACTTTTCTCAAAAGCTGAAACCTGGGAGACACTGGTGCAGGGTTTCCCAAACTTGGGCCTCCAGCTGTTTTTGGACTACAACTCCCATCATCCCTAGCTAGCAGGACCAGTGTTCAGGGATGAGAGGAATTGTAGTCCCAAAACAGCTGGAGGTCCAAGTTTGGAAAACCCTCTACTGGTGGAAAGGGGCAGCAAAGAGGTCTTCGTGCAGATGAGATGGTGCTCATTTATACAAATAATAAAATCAAGTGTTAGAGCTTTTCCTGGATGCATCAGGCTGCAGCTGTGAGATTGCCTGTTTGAATGTTACCCGATGAGCTGCAACTGCAGCTTTAAAGCCATCATGTCAAACAAAAGGATTCAGCTTGGCTTTCTGCTGGATTTGCTTGCTTTCTGTATGCAAGGAGATGTATTCTTTTTGCGTGTTCAGACCCAGAGACCTCCCCCCGAAATAAAGACACACTTGACTCAAATTTTAGTTTTGGTTTTTGGCAGAATTTAGGCCACAACTTTATTGATTACAGAAAGTGAGTGGTTGCATAGGCTCTGGTTCAGCTAGCTCCCTGCACCCTTGCAGGCAGCGCTAACCCAGGGCACCAGCATAGGTCAGCCAAGGGTGAACACCTGGGTAGGCAAAAAGCCAGGAACAGACTATGTTCGCCACCCAGAAGCCCCCCTGGACTCAGGCATGGGCACAACCCCCTCTCAGGGGTTGACCAAACCGTCGAGTCCCTGGATTCCTTTAACAGAATACCCTTCACATAGGGATGGCGAGAGCGTTCTCCATCCCTATCACCTGAACCAGAGCCTATCCACAACCTTACAAGTTGTGATGATTTGCTACGTGGCAGGCGAAACCCAAATGGCAACAGCCAATCAGCCAAGTGGGGAAAATTCCTGCCGTGCCCCTGTCCCAACGACAGACGACACACGACGACATAGCAAGGTCAAGCACAAGCCCTAAAAGTAGGAAGAGGTGGGCGGGTGTTCCGAATGCATGCGCCGAAAGAGGAAGCTCTGGGTCATGTGCATGGGTATATATAGGTCCCTCGATCTGTTTGGACTGCACCCCATTGGCCAGATTGAACCCAACATTGAGGGACCGACCAATTGGGTGTTGTGGCTGTCCAATCTTACCCACCCACAACACAGGATGTCTGTCTCCAGGTCTCACCGCAACATGTGCCCTCTTTTAGGGAGGACACGATTTATCACGGAAGAGCATTCCAACACTCATCACATGAAATGGTACAGTCCAGAAAAAGTGTTGCCGCGCGATCTTGTAAACTGACCTGGCTTCCAGAAATACAGTGGTACCTCAGGTTACAGACACTTCAGGTTACATACGCTTCAGTTTACAGACTCCGCAAACCCAGAAATAGTGCTTCAGGTTAAGAACTTTGAGAATAGAAATCGTTCAGCGGCGGCGCAACAGCAGCAGGAGGCCCCATTAGCTAAAGTGGTGCTTCAGGTTAAGAACAGGTTCAGGTTAAGAACGGACCTCCAGAACAAATTAAGTTTTTAACCCGAGGTACCACTGTACTCGGTCACGGGGAATACTTCAGACAATGGTAGCGACAATCCTGGTCGACTTTAGACTGAGGACTGCGACATATAAATAAATAACCGCCCCCCCCCCCACGAAACACACACACACACACACACACACACACACACACACAAACATTGTAAGTGTAATTCATCATTTCTTAAGCACCTAAAATGAGGAGACTTACAGCAGCTGAAATGATGAATTAAACCCCCCTCTCTACGTGCTGCAACAGGCCTCCCTTTTGAAAAGTACCTCTGACAATCTGAGCCTGGATTTTAAAAAGCTCTTACTGCAGAGATAAATTATACACTGATCTTTGCCTACAGTTTGGTCTTAAGCCAAAAGGAGCCTCAACCTCCCAGTGAGCCACATAAATCATAGCCTGAGAAGCCTCAGGTGGCTGGATTAATACTGGATCAATGTGAATGTGCTACAAAGTTACTTGATCACTACAATACTGGTATTGACTGTTATACACCTGTTATATTATTAGGGATTATATCTATTGTAAACAAGCCGTTTGATGTTGCAGACTGTGCTAACCGCACGCTCTATAATCAGGGCTTGTAGCTGCTGCGGAGGCCCCAACATGCCTGGATCATACTCGTTTTCGTGTTGCGTGGGGTGGCCAAACAATAGAGATATGTTTTGTCATTATTCCAAGGCGAACCTAGTCTAGACCAGGAACGGCTAGCTGGCTGCCTGGATGTGGATTCTCTAAGCAGCTCCATCTGGACCTCAGCATCCCCTGACTGGTCTCAGTCATAGCTGTCAACTTACAGATTTGAAAATAAGGGACCAGCAGCCTCGAAAATAAGGGTCCAGCAGCCTCGAAAATAAGGGATCAGCAGCCAAAATAAGGGATCAACAATTACTTTGATAAAATACATGTTTTGTTGTGTGCAAATGACTTTAGATACCTATTAGGTCCATAAATTACCATATAACATATATTCAACACAAAAAACAGCAACAATTTGTTGTTGACAAAGCACAGCTGGACATAGAAAGGGCCCCATTACCTTCAGTAGCTTATTTAAGGGACATCATCAATAAGGGACAGCAGCGGGACATGGCACTGGGATAAGGGACTGTCCCACCAAATAAGGGACACTTGACAGCTATGGTCTCAATCAAGGTGCAGTAATCCAAAGTTTTCTAAAGACATTTTCACTTGTAAGGGAAAAGAGTAACGTGGCTCCATCTGTGGTCTTTCCCCCCCAAAAAATTATTTTAATTCATTTTATAACACAAATAAAAAACACAAACAGAAAAGACAAACAATGCGAACAAATTCTTGTCATATCCTTATTTTTCTAGACATTGTGAAATGGGCTTCCCCAAGTCCCACCTATCTGATTTTCATTTTACTTCATCTTTAGCAGTTTACATATATCATAATTTTTAACCATCTTTTTTTTAAAAAAATCACACTTAAAATTACTTCACATTTTATCATTTACAAATAATACTATTTTAAAATACCCTATCTTCTACTTCTAACCCTACAGCCTACATCCACTTCCAAAGCTATTCTAAGGTTTAAATATGAACATATTTTTTCAAATATTCCTTAAACTTCTTCCAGTCTTCTTCCACCGTCTCTTCTCTCTGGTCTTGGAGTCTCCCGGTCAGTTCGGCAAGTTCCATATAGTCCATCATCTTCATCTGCCATTCTTCGATAGTTGGTAAATCTTGTTTCTTCCCATTCTTCGCTAACAATATTCTCGCAGCTGTTGTGGCATACAGAAAAAAAGTAACATCCCTTTTGGGGATTTCACCCCCCACTATACCAAGTAAAAAGGTTTCTGGTTTTTAAATAAATGTGTTTTCCAACACTTTTTTCAATTCATTATAAATCCTTTCCCAGAAGTCTTTTACTTTGGGGCACGTCCAAATCTGTGGTCTTATCAAAGAGATTGTACTGCCATGCCAAGTATATTCCCTACAGACCCTTTTGGGGTGTTAAGGTTGGAACTAAGAGTAGTTCCCAGCACCCTCAAAAGTTCAGGGGGTGGCAGCCCAGAAGAAGGCCCTTTGTGTGGCTTTTTGGAGAGAGGGGTTGGAAATGCTGCCCCAAACCCTAGAAATCTTATTCCGCTTCTAGCTTCTTAGGTTTCAGGAGTAATTGCTCGCGCATATCCAAGTGTATTTTTGTAGAAGCTAGAAACCTGATCCTTTACAAACTGAAAGCTGTGGTTTTCAAAAAGCTGGCTCTTGATGAAACATACACAGATGTGGGAGAAAGACTAATAGAATGGAATGGTGAGACCTTCTCGGTCAATGTGGATTTGAGACCTTGTTCACATTCAATCGATAGAAATGTCTGGGGCGTAAATAATATTACAATTGTAATATTACAATTGTAATATTATTTATATCCCTGACAATATTTATTCAACAACAACAACAACACTTTATTACGGTCATAGACCAGCATAAAATATTTATTCAAATTGCCATCATGTTGTGTATCTTTGAGTCTCTCTGCTAACCATAGATGAAGCCTATCCTCTATAGCAGCACTGAAATGAATATTCACATATGTTTATGTGTGTATGTATTTAAATACAGTGGTACCTTGGGTTACATATGCTTCAGGTTACATACGCTTCAGGTTACAGACACCGCTAACCCAGAAATAGTAGCTCGGGTTAAGAACTTTGCTTCAGGATGAGAACAGAAATTGTGCTTTGGCGGTGCGGCAGCAGCGGGAGGCCCCATAAGCTAAAGTGGTGCTTCAGGTTAAGAACAGTTTCAGGTTAAGAACAGACCTCTGGAATGAATTAAGTACTTATCCCAAGGTACCACTGTATACACTCACTGGAAGGACAGCTTGTGAAGCTGAGGCTCCAATACTTTGGCCACCTCATGAGAAGAGAAGACTCCCTGGAAAAGACCCTGATGTTGGGAAAGATTGAGGGCACACGGAGAAGGGGACAACAGAGGATGAGATGGTTGGACATTGTTCTTGAAGCTACCAGCATGAGTTTGACCAAACTGTGGGAGGCAGTGGAAGACAGGAGTGCCTGGCGTGCTCTGGTCCATGGGGTCACGAAGAGTCGGACAAAACTAAAAGACTAAACAACAATAACCGCTGTATACATAATGCTTTTATCATTAAAGAACAGCTGGGGTTTCCTTATTTGGATTTGTGTGTGTCCTTTTTTTCTCTCCTTTGGAGCATAGCTGTCAAGCGTCCCTTATTTGGCGGGACAGTCCCTTATCCAAGCGCCCTGTCCCGCTGCTGTCCCTTATTGATGATGTCTCTTAAATAAGCTACTGAAGGTAATGGGGCCCTTTCTATGTCCAGCTGTCCTTTGTCAACAACAAATTGTTGCTGGTTTTGTGTGTTGAATATATGCTATATGGTAATTTATGGACCTAATAGGTATCTAAAGCCATTTGCACGCAACAAAATATGTATTTTATCAAAGTAATTGTTGATCCCTTATTTTGGCTGCTGATCCCTTATTTTTGAGGCTGCTGGTCCCTTATTTTCAAATCTGTAAGTTGACAGCTATGCTTTGGAGACAGATGAAGTTTTTCAGGTAAGGAGCATCCATTGAACAACTTTTGTCTCGTTCTGCAATATTGATGC